CCCCAAAACCCCAAAACCCCAAAACCCCTCGAATCAAGATTAATAAGATTAAGGCAAATGAATTGGGAGAATATAAATTTGAATAACTACTCTATCTTGGATTTATTAAATTTAAATATGAGCACCAGCATTTAGACAACTAGAACTGTCTCAGTCCCTGAAGTCGAAAGCGTTTATGAATTCATAGATACTATAACACCAGCTGTGATATCTAGAGGAATAGATGATTATTACTAATTCATGACTATCGGATTTATCTTGTTATTCCAACTTGGATACTTCCTCTTTGAGTTTGGATCAGTAAGGAAAAAGAACTCAGATACCATCCTAATAAAAACCTTCATTATACTTATCATGACATGCTTCACTACTTTCTCATTCGGATATGCATTTGCCTATGGTGAATCTTACTTCATTGGAGTGAAGTACTACTTCACTTCATTTTCAGTCAATGATAATACAGAAGAGAGAAACGAGATCCGCTGGGTACTGTTATTCGCTGCATCAAGTATGACTACCTAGCTCGCAATGTCTGGCATCTAAGAGAGAACGAAAATGATCGTACCATGGATTTATTCAATCATAATTACACTTGCTATTTTTCCAATAGTAATTGGTTGGACATTAGGAAAAGGTTTTATGTATAAACTAGGTCTTAAGGATTTCTCAGGTTGTGCGGCTATTCATTTAGTAGCAGGTTTCTGCTCTCTATTTGGTTCAATGGTGGTTAAACCTAGATTAGGTCGATTTGTACCATTAGCTATTAAGAAAATGCAAGGAAACAAAGAAATATATCTCTAGCATATTCAAAAGTAATTCATTCAGTAAAGAGTTAATCAAGTAGCAAAGGAGTTGGTATTTAATAAAGACAAAAGTTTTGAAGCTTATGTTGAAAAATCAAGGAAATTGATAAAGAGAGTTGATAACGATAACTTCTATACTATGAACAATGAGATTGTAAATTTCATGGGCTCAATTTTGATGTGGTTTTCGCTCTGTCATATATTTAGTGGATTTAATCTAAGTGTATATTCTCAGAGATATGAAGTTGAAATCGCTTACTTAAACTGCTTGGTTTCTGGAGGTTTTGGAGGAATTACGGCACTAATTGTTAAATCTGTCCTAGACTAGGTCTACCTCAGTAAAGCAAGAAAAAGTGGTACTAAGTTTATGGCTAAATCCAGTTATGATTATTCAACCTAATTTTCTAATCCCTTAGCTTAGTATGACTTATTTGTCATGGGAAGAGGTCTAATTGCAGGTTCAGTGATGGTATCAGCTCCAGGAATTTATTACAAGACTTGGATTGTTGTGTTTTTGGGAGCAATAGGAGGAGCCGCCTATGTTGGAACATCTTTTGTAATGCAGAAATTTAAATTAGATGATCCATTTCATGTGTTTCAAACTCACGGTGTACCTGCTATGCTTTCACTGATACTTATTGTCTTATTTCATAAAGATACAGGTATTTTCTTTACTGATCCAAATGCTATTGTAACTTAGGAAAAACTTTAGGAAATTATTTAAGTCTTTGGTGCTAACATGTTAGGGGTAATAATAGTAATCTTTTGGTGCGCAGTATTCACCTTCCCTTATTTCATTATCATCAAGAAATGTTGTTTGAGAGTTACTAAAGTTACTGAATTGATTGGCCTTGACTTGACTCAACTTACCTTGGGAAAGAAAGAGATTAGAAACTACGTTCAATTCGTCATCACTGAGTATTTCCCTGAAAACTCAGGAGAATACCTACTTAAGAAAAAGAGATTACTTGAAATGGCTAAGAAAGGTAAACTCTAAGCTAAAAAGCAGTTGACTAAAGAAGAACTCACGAAGATTAAAGAGATGCTTGATCAATAAATTAGAGAAGTCTTTGGTTCAAGCGATGAACAAAAGTTTACACCATTTGTTAATGAAAAGACTTATTAAAAAGAAGTATCCGATTATGATATGAAGCAGAGGTAGAAGGGAATGACTTTCCAAGAACCTATCAAATAAGATCTTTAATTTGAGATGCACAGTCCATCGAGAAAGTAATAAACAGCAAAATACTAGAAAGCCAATAGGCTAGATTCGAGTGAATAAGATGACATGGAGGTTAGATTAAATCCTAAAGACAATAGCTATAAATATGTAGTAGATTAAGATAGTCATAAGCCTAGCTTTAAGGAAGAAAAGAAAAAGTAGCAATTATAGCCAAAGAAAGTTTTAGATGCAGACGATGAAGACAATGTAATTTATTCATTCAGAGAGAAGCCCTCATAGCCATCTATGAATTAATCAAAGAAGTAGGGCACTCCTATTAAATCTCCAAGCATTATAAATAACTAATTCAAGAAATAAACAGGAATACATGTTGCAGATACCAGTTAAAGCGATAGTGGTAGTGTAACACATGAAGGTGAGTTATCAAACTCTAGCTCAGAAAACCAAAGCGATTAAGCTGCAGATGATAGCATGGTAAGACACAATGTTGGCTTGGCACAAAACGAAAATGTGATTAACCCTAAGTCAAATAGGAAGAGCACAATGAGAAAGAGTGGAGTGAATAAAGTAGGAACTGTTAACAATCTAGGATTTGGAATTGGAACAGTAACAATTGCTGCTTAGAATGATTAGTCCAAATAAATGGTGAGTGATTTGTCATAGTTCTAAGATAGCTCATTCAACAGTAGACCAAATATGCACTCAAAAAAGACAACATAGGATATGAGAGGACAGAATTTTGGATTTGCTCATTCAAGAAATAACACAAATACCACAAACTAGAGAAGTACCAATTAGAAAAGATGATATAATATGGATTGATAATATTCTAGATCTTGATTTTAAAATTGATTTCATAATTTAAAACTATTATATATATTTTCTAGACGGGGTTTTGGGGTTTTGGGG